AACAATGAAAACCACTCAGGCGTGGACATGTATACCGCAGTCGTGTATGGAATTGTATAGCATATTTCATTTTAAAATGCGCACAATCTCACGTTTCTCGTTCTTTTTAATTAGATAATTAAATATTATTGAAGTTTCAGACAAGAAAGAAAGTATGTTTGAGGAAAAAAATAATTTCCAACTTATTATTTGCGTGGGTGTTATTTATTATTCAACATAAATTACAATACATAGTAAAATTGCACATGCCGTACTGCGAGTGTTTCGGCCGCACTATCACGTTTGGTTCAATTATAAAAACAGATCTTTTCAGTTATTAATCATGTTTTTAATAGAATCCCATGTGAAATAGGTAAAAAAGGGTTTTGAATTATGATTATTGTAAATTCCGGATAATACGCATACTGGGTTTGTGATGTGCGTATTTTTGCAAATTTTTGTTTTCCAGTGGCGTGTTATGTAATGTGATTGACTGATTCATGGTTGACATTTGATTCGAGCAAACAAATAATTAAACAAAACATAGAATAGATACAGGCGCATTTATAAACATCGCGGCATTTAAATATTTTAGAAACGCAATAAACCTAAGACAGCAAAGTAACGCAGTTGAGGTTGAAATTATTTTCGTTATTGTCTGCGTTCTCCATATTTTTAAAATTCCACTTCGAGACCATGTGAATCCACGTGACGTAGGCATGATATATTAAATAACTTTTGGCACATTTATATTCATAAAAAACGGTTCATCTACAAGCTTGACTACAGATGACAAGATGACAGATGAATTGATGACACAGGAATGTACGTGTCTCTCGATACACCTGTGCTACAAATCGCGCCACCTAGCGGCGATGCAACACAATGAAAGGAATGCCTTTACAGAGTCGGCGGCAGGAAATTTAGCATGAGAGAATCCCTTTTCTTCCGGGCAACGAGTTTTGTATCGTCGTCGCCTGTTTGTCAACCTATTTTTTTGAGAACTAGTTTATATGATGAGGGTTAGTAATAAAATATCTAGTAAACCTGTTTTGCTTTGTTATTTTTATTACAAGCAAATATTTGCCGCTGGCTTTTTCGTTTCCATTTGGTGTTTGCTTGCATTCCCATGGCATGGATTATATCTGCAGACATTACGTATACGTATTCGTTATTACGTGTGCGCATATTATTATGGTTCAATTTAAATACGACAGTCGGCGAATGAATACGATGGTCGTTTCTAGCAGGCGCTTTTTACATGTATGTGGTATGTGTCAGCCTATATGTGTTGCCACGTCATTACAATTGTTGAAATATTGTGTTTCTAGAATAAAAATTACTGCAGTCAGTCTTTGAATCCGAATTTTAATATGTCGTTGTAACATTCCGAATGCAAAGAATCAATGACTCGTGAGGTACATATAGTCTTGCTTCTCAGACTTTGAATTTGCAATGCTCGATGATACTGGATCCCCTAGGGCGCCACTCGCGGTGAAGCTGCGTGACATCGTTGTGAGCGACGCACTTCGTGCTCCTGTATTACTAATCCAGCTATGCAGGCAATATTTATTTTAACCAGTTGCCCAAAATATATATATATATTTGTAGTTGGATGTCATCCAATAATCTGCATTCTCTTTAGATAGCTGAATCGTTATTTGTCGCAGGGGATCTCTTCCAAAATAACTGATTCTTGTTTTCATCAGCCGCTTGACATTCACGTACAGCCTCGTTAAAGACCAGCATTATATCTATATATTCTGTCGTTCAGTTCATTTTATTTGCATGATTATTTGGTATTATTGACAAAACACCTAGTAAAACAATATGGAAAATAAATTGCTCTTAGACTGCATTAATGATGTGTCTATATGTACGACTGACGAGAAGCTCAAAAATGAAATTTACAATAAAATTATACATCAAAATTAAACAAACGAATATATATCCTACATTCCAGTGACTGTGGGCTGTAGCTCAATAAGTGAATTTTTCACATGATAGTTTACACGCTGATTTATTTCGGGCCATTTCTTCCAATTACCACTGGATTGAGATTGAACGGAGGGGTGATTCTCCATGACAGTGCGATGTGTAATTAACACATAATCTTGAGTGATCAGACTTAACCAGACTGTATTGCAGATTCCACGTCTAAACAGAATCTCACGGAATTTCTCACAAATTTACACAGGATTTACTATCGTTGGGATAACCTAATTAAATATCTGGTGACAATATCCATAAAAAAACAATACTCGGTGACCCCAAACCAAACTACTTTATCGCCGTGATATGCTGCATATTACAGGATAGATTTGGTGTACTGTATCAATTATTCATAGTTGATGGTTTCAAATTCTAATCCTGCAAAAAATCAGTTTATAATATATATATCCCTGTATTATTTTAACACAATTTGTAAACTCACATTATGCTTTCATCTCAAATACAATGGTATCTAAACTTTGCAAGGATGGCATCCACCAACATATTACAGCATCAATATACATTATAATTACTTAGGAGATTCTTTCAGGCAAAACATGTTGCAAAAAATTCTCGTATATATATTAACTGTCTGCCTGAAACAAACTGGAAATAGAAAAAAATAAAAAAATTGCGATAAACAATTATTTATGACGCGACACATTACGATTAGCAGGATGAGTAGTATAGTTAGGCGTTAATTCTCAAATAAAATAAAACCATTTTATAAAGTTGGTGCTCGTACAGAAAATAGTAAAATAGGAACTTTTGATTATTTTGAAAATAATTACATTTCTGAAAAGATTAAACATTGATGAATATTCTTTTCGAAACTTGTTTCTCGATGTCTTATAAATAATTATTATATTGTCCGACATTTGCCGCGGACCAATAACCTCGGAAGGGATCATCTCAGTGTCTTCGCCGATGACAAAAACTTCTTTCCTATGTCAGTGGCGGGTACCAGCGGTTGACTATAACACCGTACCTGCTACTTAGTATTGTAGTAAAAACTACCGATAAAAATATTGCTAGTTAGCTGGTTGGTTAAAAGGTGCAAAAATAGTTCCTTTTCACAAACAATTGTCATAGTCAAATGATATAGTATATTTGATTGCAAATATATAAAAATAAACAAACTAATAAACACACGTGAAATGATACATTGTTTTATTTATTACAAACCGGCACCATCATGACATCCCTATTTTACACAGACCAAAGACGGAATTGCCAGAGAGGGCGGCAAAACTAGGATTAGCTCCAATTTCATGGTAATTCACAACATTTATGATGATATACCATTTACACTTGCATACAGTCTCTTGTACATTTTTTGGTGTTTTTCAATAAAATAATATATAATGTGAGTATATAAATGGCGAAAGCCGGGGTTACAGCGTTATAAACACGGGACGTGTGTTACTTGCAAGGGATATGTCGCAGTAACCCAACTTTTATACTCTCTCTTAATAATTTATTTCATTGGAAAAATACGCCTAATTGATTTACTGTTTAATGTAATTGTCACTGATTCATTTCATGATATGAATAAATTAAGTAATTATAAAACAGTGAATGCTACTGATAAACGGGCATTTATAAAAAAAGAAGGTTACCGTCATGCTGGTAAATAACGAGGCAATAATTTGACATCATCATTACAACAACAACTCTTCTGTACTGTATCTCAAATCATACGTAAGTTACTAAATGCCCGCGTAATTATAAAATCTACTGAACAAAAGTTTTAATCTTTAGAGTAAAGGAAATTGAATAACATCGCATGCCCGGATGTGTTTGATCAGGAGGTGACATAACTGTAACTGACATACTCGAATTTACCTTTAATAACATGCCATGTTTACTTTAGCTATTACAACAGGTATATCGTATGGTGTGCTTATACTACCCAACGCCGTTGCTTTACATTCGCGTTTGTACAGTAAGGTGGAGTGTCGGAATTTATTATCATTTTAACGTCAACTATTCTATTAATACACGTTTATGGATAGCTTTGGGTAATCAAGATGCGGACGCTACCAGTTTTAGTGAGAATATCGATTGGGGCAGCATGTTGTTTTATTGTATGCAGGGCTGTGGTGAGTAGCCATATTATCGAACATAAATTAGGTTTCTTAAACGTACTTTACCCAAACAATTACCATTTTGATTATATACATTGTTATCGCACATTTCTTTTATAATACATGTTATTGCAAACCGACGTTAATAGAAATGGAAATTACATCTGTGTCATAAATAATCGACATATATCAGTTAAATTACCCTCTCTCTCTCACCCGTGTATTTGTATATTGTTTAATTACTTTCATACTTGTACAGTGCTCATCAAATGTTCATTTCCAGGACACGTTTATCTGCCCCGACGGTACCAAGTCTGTACAATGTCTAACGAACCCATGCGAAGTCACTCAATGCGAGCGATACCCATACGCACGATGTGAAGTTGATTACTGTGGGAGGTGTAAGGCAACATTCATCGACAATGATGGTAGCGTATTGGACTGCTGTGGTAATTATTATGCGCTGGCAGGCTTTAACAGCTGCATTATAATTCCTTATATATATATACTATCCAGAACAAACATAAACAAGTAAAAAAAATAAAAATAAAGATATACAACTAGTTTGATATATTATTTTTGCATGGAAAAACGGGGTTTGGAACGAATAGATATTTTTCCCAAATATAACGCCCAACCATATTATTATGTCTGTAGAAATATACCCCATGACCGATTTCTTAAATTCACCAATTTATTCATTTTCAGAACAAAATGATGATCCATGTGCGTCAATAAGATGCGGATTTTATGCACAGTGCAAACGCGGGAGATGCGTCTGTCCATTCGTGTGTTATAAAGGGTATATACCAGTGTGTGGCTCTGACGGTAATACTTACCGAAACGAATGCTCAATGCGTGTAACCGCTTGCAAAACCCAGCAGGATATACATGTACAACATATGAACAAGTGTCAGCATGGTATGCAAATATATATTTCTTTGAATAATAATTCGGCATATTGCATATAATACGTACGTCCTAAAACCACAGTACTTCGATGTGCGTGTTCTCGTTAAATCATATATAAACCTAACTTTGTATTTTTACATATTACAGCGACATACACGAAAGATGCCATTCCCCAAGACACGTTCATTTGCCCAGATGGTACTAAGTCTGTACAATGTCCGACGAACCCTTGCGAAGTCACTCAGTGCGAGCGATATCCATACGCACGATGTGAAGTTGATTACTGTGGGGGATGTATAGCAAAATTTATCGACAATGATGGTAGCGTTCTGGATTGTGCCGGTAAATTTAAGTTTGCATATAAGCTGTCAGGCAGGCCATAGCATTTGCATTATGATTGGGTATATATAGTAACCGAAAAAAAAAACGAGGCGGTCAGGAAATAATAAAACAAAAATTCCAGATATACAAGTAAGACAACGGGATATGATAGTCTGGAGCGGATACACATTTTTCTAACGCCCAGTCACTGTATGTTTGTGGGAATAAATACCTGATAATTATTTATAGTATTTTAGGCAGTGTGGCCAGATTTAAATTTAGTGACTGATTGCGTTAGATTAACTAATTTAAATTTATTTTTAGGACAAAATTCCGATCCATGTGCGTCGATGAGATGCGGATTTTATGCGCAATGCAAATGGGGTAGATGCGTCTGTCCTTCCATGTGTTATAAAGGGTATATACCAGTGTGTGGCTCTGACGGTAATACTTATCGAAACGAATGCTCAATGCGTGTAACCGCCTGTAAAAACAGACAAAATATATATGTACAGCATATGCACAAGTGTCAGCATGGTATGCATATATAAATATATTTACAGTTTCCCTTTGATTAATGAGAAGTATCCGACATATAATACGGAAGTGCACAGCCACAGTATTTCCATCTGCATAATATTGTTCTTAAAGTATATCCTTAATTTTTTTCTTTCATGCCGTACTGTTACACGGCGCACCAAAACTTCACGAGTATAAGATGTAACTTGTATGTTCTTTTTGTATTTCACAGATAAGAATCGATGTACAGGTTCGTCACATTCAGGTCACTGTAGAGCAATGCTATTACGATGGTATTTCGACCAATCAACGGGAACGTGTGAACCTTTTATCTACTCGGGGTGTGGAGGAAATAGAAACAGGTTCTGGAGCAAGTGGAAATGCAAACAAAAATGCTAGGACTGATTTGCAGTATTGTAATATCTCTGCCACGGGGTTTTCCATCTTCTTGGCTGTGAATATTCACTTGCAGAAACTATTGATTGCCCTTTATATAGCAATGCAGTTATTTAGGAGTAGTTTTACGAGTGAATTTTGACAATGCCATTGGATACCACATCTCAACGATCGACCGATCCGGAATATTCATAATTTAATATTTAACACATTAAATAGAACCACTCAATACAAAGATTATGTGAAAATCAAGTTTAAACTCAACACATGTAATAATTTACTGAATCTACAACGCATTCAATTTAATCGAAAAACACATGAATTACAAAATAGCAGTTAACTTTTTAAACTGCCATTACACGTTTATTTCTTTATTTAACTCTACCAGTCAATATTAGAAACTGGGTGACTATCATTTGTTTTTGACTGAGTGTTATAAGATAAATATCTAACTAATGCGAAAATACTGAATAAATACAAGTTTAGTAATTTGTTAAGCAAATTTATTCTTTGAAAATTACAATTGTAATTTTATGTTTAACGTATCTTCAATAAAGCCGACCAAGGTGAAATTGCGTTTGAAAAAATAATTGATTGATTATTTATTTATTTATTAATCAAATAAGTTATTACTGGCAATTGGATATGTTTCACAAAGCGTACTCTACATGTGCGGGTTGGTAAACATTAGTGTTCACGTTAACAATTTACCAGTACTGTTGCATTTGTTTTGCCAGCTAACAATGTATGGTTATGGACACTGTTTAAGATAAATGCTATTTGGGAATGTGGCGATTGTCACATAACATCAGAAGCAGCCGACAGGGTTGGTTTTCAGCATTCAATATCTTGTAATTCATCAAACTAGATGCAGGTTTGTGGGCGCATGGATCCATTACATTTCTGCTTTTGCTTTTTTATATTTAAACGTCGATTTTGGAGCTCCAACAATACAGAACATATTAAATTTGATTGTATATGTTTTAAAATGAAATTATCTACAGTTTAGTTATTCAGTTGGTGAGGGGGTTACATTCTTGAATATTTTCCGGAGCTTGTATCTATTAGAATTGGAATCTGTCACACTATGTAAGTGATGGGTTTTGACGGTAATAAAAAAACATTCAGGTTTTGTTATAGCGTGTTTGTTTTCAAACCATGATGTATAAATATTTGAGTAGTCTTAATCACGTGATTACTAACCTGCTGAATACAAGTGAATAAAACATAGTGTGAAAGTTTTAAAGGGAATAATCCGAACCCAAGGAGCAAATTAACTATGGTAGCGGACAAATGTACAAACCTTCCGCCAAACGTCATATCACTGTATCTGCAGGCCTTCTGCATGTAGCATAATAAGTAGCTAAGATTTCAATCCATAGTATCACAAGCAATGTACAATGTTTATTACAACTCGACGAAGAGTGGAAATCAACAATCCCGAAACAAAATACCTAATTAAAACAAAGTGGTTTTCGTATTTTTATTAACTGACAGTAGTAATACTCCCATTCACACCGTCGCCTACGTGTTTGAACAAAGTAGTTGAACTGATAACAAAAAAAAAATCAATCAACGAAGCAGACCGCGGCCTTGAAAGTTCCGTTATGACACGTTGCGGTATTTTAGCCAGGCATCCAAATAATAAACAACTGTTCATACCTGTTCCTTGCATAATATTTTCTACAATATGCGGGTATCAGAAAATTCAAAACAGACTTTAATTTGTTTAATATCAGTAATTAGCTCTCTATAAGTATTCGTGACAAGTAACGAATCTTACATGCACGTATACAATATCGGTTAAACTATTTGGACTTAATTAATACAGTTCTGATGACCAATGTAAAACTGCCAGATATATTGCTTTCTTCGATAAAAGCTTCTTGTTGCAGATAGAGTAGCTTATTATAACTTGAATAGAAACACGATAACATATGTCCATGACTACTTAATTCTCAAGAAATAGACAATGAACGGAAAACGGTATATAACACGCGTTGGTGACTATAACATGCGTTACAGACTGATTTGCGATAATTTGTCAGAATGGGCAAGAAGGAATTCAGCTGGATTTTGCATTTATTTTTGGTTATTTCAGGTGTATTTCAGGTAAGTTGAGTACTTAGAAGTACTTTCTATTTTGTCATAATCCACAGACGAATGCGTAATTTTATTTAGAATGAAGAATTATTTTTTTTAGTTCCACATTAACCATTCGTTCCAATTTTGATAAGTAATTTATGTTTGATATTATATTTTATTATCTTCATTGGGTGAATGCTGAAAATGGTGAGATATTTATTTGTTCTCGAATTTTAATTACATATTCTTTATATATTTGTGTACTTATGCCGATTTCACAAAAGTGCCAGAATCAGTTTTATTTTATTTTGACCGACTGCAAAGCAAATGTATTATACTATTATAATTATTGACTGCTGCCAAGATTGACCGGAGTACGTGTCTGCACTGAATTAACATATTCATCAATGAATAATCATGTTCATGCTATTGTAAGTCTGCGGAAATTGGATTCAATGGATCGACGATGAAAATGGTGGCGTGATCGTCGATGAAGTTGGCGAATTCGAATTCCTCCCGGACCTTCGTATCCTACACGACATATGTGAGGTCCCGACCGCCATTGAGTGTCGCACAGTAGTTGAACCTTTTACGCTATCCTATGAAACCGGGCAGACTGTATACTGCGATTTACCCGATGGGCTAATCTGTTTCCATGGCGATAACGTGTCTCCATGTATGAACTACAAGATTAGGCTTTGTTGTGAAACGGAAGAACCTACAGTCACGGAGGAGGGAGCCACCGAAGAGGGTATGTATTATACATAATATTGCATTTATTCAAGTGGCCGTGGATACGATAAGATTCACTTAGGAATACAATAAGGACGAGTTCTCGCAAACTAAACCGTTCTAGTGTGGTCTGATAAATACATGGATAATAAAGACTGTATATATTTGCATTCGCTCCATAGATGAGATATGTATTGGGGATAATTTGTATAAGATCGTTTTAGGCGACTCTTGTGACTGGCATGATGCAGACACATATTGCAAAACCATCTTAGCTCCGAGAGGACATGTCGCTGGCTTAGCAAATCTAGGTGCCCGTAAAGTGCGTAACACAATTCGGGAGATTATACAGCAGTCGCCGGGTTTGTCGAATCCCAAAGGAAAAGGTTACTGGATAGGATGTCACGACGAAGAGGAGGAAGGCTCATTTGTGTGGTTGAATAGAAATAAAGTGGATGTACCACAAAATGCATGGCACCCCCGGCCAAACAATAAACAGGCTAAAGCGTGCACAGCAAAGGGAAACGATCAAGACTGCTGCCAACTTTGGTATATCATTTTTATTTTGTTTTGTTTTAATGAAACGGAATGGTGAACAATTTTTCTTTGAATGAATTAATGAGTGAGTGAGTGAATGAATGAATGAATGAATGAATGTCGTTTGTTGGAATAGTTAGAATCAGTATTGTATTGTGGCTATATTAACAAACAGTAAATCTTGAAAATAGATATATTTATGAAGTGAAAAAATTATATTTTCAAAAATGTCAGATTCATGAGGATTTCAGAGTCATAGTAATATCAATATATCAATCATATTTACAGGGAAAGACCAAAAACTAATCCTAGTTTCAAAATGGATGATTCCTGTTGCACTGATACAAAGTATTTCATTTGTGAAATTCGTAAGTAATCTATCAGTATCTGAATAACTGTTTTAATATATATTCATATGATATATGGGTTATAATAATTCATAAATAGCTGTTTTAAGCAAGGCGAGGTGCACGAACTAAGTGGCAGTACTCAGGATTCACTCCAATGAAACAGGCACCGTGACGGTTTAAATGTCGTAATGTATGCCGCCGTTTTGAGTCAGAGAGTCTAAAAAGCCGTCTACTGTGTGCCGGTACTGCCATATAGAACGTAGGGCAATAACATGCAGTTACTCCAATAAATACATGTCTAGGCATTTTAATATTCAACGTGGATGTATCCCAACAAGAATGTTAGGGCATACAAAGTGGGGGTACCCCATTAACAACGCCCAGGTTTACAAACCCTGGTAGTCCATGTTTACAAAGTTGGGTGCCCCATTAACAGCGCCCAGGTATACACTTCTTTAACCACAAGACAATTTCTATATACAACATAGCGGTATTCCCATAAACAACATGAGGTTCTCTCATATACAATGTCCGGGATTACTTAAATATAGTTGTTGATTTATTTAACAAATAATGATGGAAGATGTTTTTGGTTTTACTTACAGCTGGATACTGCGCAAGGAAATAAACTCTGGATGGCTCTCGTACAAGAGTGTAATATATGGTGTCTGATCAGCTGCTTGATGTGTTAATATCATCGTTCATTATCATCATTGTACCACTTTACTGTAAATCAATAGTATAATTATACTCAATTAAATACATATTACCGAAAAATATGTACCTATTACATTGACTGAACTATTACATTATTACACTAATGAACTATTCTTATCATAGTTCTAAAAATCGACAATTGTCAATAGAGGGTGTTGTTTAAAAGACAGCCATTTAAAAAAAATGAAAGAACACAAACGAAATGCAGAGGGTTAACACATGGCGTACAGAAATGTCGAGAACCCAAAACTGATGTAATATTGACGACGGTACTTTTTAGTCGATTAATTAAGTTATACATTGCAAGTACAATACAGTTTTCTGTAGTATGGGATATCAAATTAAGAATTAACAATGTTTATATTTACCAAACTCCCGGTGAAACAGCATTATGTCTGAGCTTAGCGGTACAGACCGGACTAGATACTATCGTACTATTTTGTAATTGGATGCTATTACTAGTAACATTACTCTTGTCTAAAACTGAACTGGTGTGAGTTTCAAATGATTTGGTTCGGCGAATTAGAGTGGATGGCCTTGATCGATCGGTGGTAGTTTTGCATTTTAACCATGGATTAGCCCAAAGTCTTTGACGAAGAACAGGCGGTTAAGATCTATTTGATAAATATTGAATGAACGAGTATGCGAGAAAGACTATCTCTTAGTTACCAGCAGCAACAGGTGTGTGATTGCCAATCCAATAAGATAACCATTGTACCATGTTGCCTCAAAATTTGAACAAAACCGATTGCATCTAGTAAATTACTTAAAGTGTAACTGAATTGGGACAATTGACTTTTTTTGTGTGCAAAACTTATTTATAAACAACATTATGAAAAAAATCAAGTGAAAAATGTACATAAATTAAATAAACGATCAATAATAATGTTCTGGATAAGGACACATCCACGTCAAATTTCTTGGCCGACTCAGAACGAGGCTTCAGCTAGAGTACCTAATTAGCATACAAGGGTGATTTGTGACGTCACGGAGAACTTGTCATCGTTTCACAATGACCGCTATACGCATGCAGTGCTCGGAAAGCGACACGGAATCTATCTTATCATCGTCTGATGAGAGTGAGATCGAGGAATATGATGACAAGGAGAGATGTCACGATTTTGTTTTAGAGTGCCAGGGACAAAGTGGCCCATACAGGTTTGAACCTGCGAGAAAAGTATGCGATGT